TATGGCTGAGTAATATTCCATTTTATAGAAAAAACACATCTTTTTATCCAGTTTCCCACTGATGGGCAGATGGGCTGTTTCCAAGTTTTAGCTATTACAAACTGTGCCGCTATAAACATGGGTGCGCATACATCACTGTGATATGATTTTTTAGTTCTCTTGGAAAGATACCCAGCAGAGGGATGGCTGGGTGAAATGGAACCTCTAGTCCAAGCTCTTTGAGGTATCTCCATATTGATTTCCATAGTGGTTGCACCAGTATGCACTCCCACCAACAATGGAGAAGGGTTCCTTTCTCCCCACAGCCCCACCAGCATTTGTTATTGTGTGATTTCTTGATAGCAGCTATTCTTTGTGGGGTGAGGTGGGATCTCAGTGTTGTTTTCATCTGCATCTCTTGAATGACCAGTGATGTGGAACATTTTTTCATATATTTACTTGCTGCTTTTACTTCTTTGTCTGAGAAATGTCTGTTCATTTCAGATGCCCATTTTTGAATCAGTTCTTTATATTTGGGGGGGCTGATTGTTTTGAGTTCTTTATGTATTCTAGATAATAGTCCTTTGTCTGAGGAGCAGCTGGTAAAAATTTTTTCCCACATTGTAGATTGTCTCTTAGTTCTGCTAATGGTTTCTTTTGAAGTACAGAAGCTTTTTAGTAAGATGAGATCCCAGTTGTTGATTCTATCTGCTAGTTCCCGTGCTACTGAGGATTTGTTCATAAAGTCTTTTCCTATGCCAATGTCTTCCAGAGTTCTGCCTAACTTATCTTCCAGCAAGTTTAGTGTTTCTGTTTTAATATTTAGATCTTTAATCCACTCGGATTTTAATTTAGTGCATGGTGAAAGATAATGGTCCAGTTTTAATCTGTGGCAGGTTGAAATCCAGTTTTTCCAACACCATTTATTAAAGAGGCTATCTTTCCTCCACTGAGAATGGTCAGCTCCTTTGTCAAAGATGAGGTAGCTGAGAACATCTGGATTTTGTGTCTTCCAATCTGTTCCACTGATCCTCAGGTCTGTTTCTTTGCCAGTACCATGCTGTTTTTATCACAGTGGCTTTGTAGTATAGTTTCAAATTGGGAATTGTTATACCCGCTGCCATGTGTCTGTTGCCTAGGATGGCTTTTGCTATTCTAGGTCTCTTATGGTTCCAGATGAATTTTTGGATTCTTTTTTCTAGTTCTGTGAAATATAGTATTGGAATTTCAATTGGCATTGCATTGAATCTGTATAGCAGTTTTGGTAGTATGGCCATTTTCACTATGTTGATTCTTCCTACCCAGGAGCAGGGGATGTCTTTCCATTTTTTAATGTCCTCTTCAATGTCTTTTTTCAGAGTGCTATAGTTTTCAGTGTAGAGATCTTTTGCTTTTTTTGTTAGATTGATTCCTAAATACTTCAGTTTTTTGGATGCTGTTGTGAAGGGAATTGTTTCCCTAATTTCTCTCGCAGTGAGCCTGTTATTTGTGTACAAGAAGGCTATTGAATTTTGGGTGTTCATCTTGTATTCAGCTACACTATTGAATCTGTCAATTAAGTCTAGAAGTCTTTTGGTGGAGTTTTATGGGTCTTCAATGTAGAGTATCATATCATCAGCAAATAATGACATTTTAACTTCTTCCTTTCCTATCTTTATTGCTTTAATTTCTTTCTCTTGTCTAATTTCTGTGGCTAATGTTTCCAGAACTATATTGAAGAGGAGTGGTGATAGTGGACATCCTTGTCTTGTTCCTGATTTTAACATGAAGGTTTTCAGCTTTTGGTCATTTAATATGATGTTGGCTGTTGGTTTTTCATAGATAGCCTTTACTAAATTGAGATAGATACCATCCATTCCAATTTTTTGCAGGGTTTTTATCATGAATGGGTGTGGAATTTTGTCAAATGCTTTTTCTGCATCTATTGAGAAGATCATATGGTTTTTGTTCTTTACTTTGTTAATATAATGTGTTACATTTATTGACTTATGTATGTTGAACCTCCCTTGCATCCTTGGAATAAATCTAACTTGGTCAGGATGTATGATCTTCTTGATAATCCTCTGTATTCTGTTTGCTAGTATCTTATTAAGGATTTTTGCATCTATATTCATTAAGGAGATTGGACTGTAGTTGTCTTTTTTAGTTGCGTCTTTTCTTGGTTTGGGAATCAAAGTGATACTTGCTTCCAGGAATAAATTTGGAAGTATAGCTTCCCTTTCAATGTCTTTGAAAAGTATGAAGAGTAATGGCAGTAGTTCTTCTCTAAATGTCTTGTAAAATTCAGCAGTGAATCCATCAAGGCCTGGGCTTTTCTTTGTTGGTAAATTTTTAATTACATTTTCAATTTCAGTGACTGTAATTGGGGTGTTTAAAATGTTTTTATCTTCTTTGTTCAACTTTGGTTATTCATAAGTATCTAAAAATCTGTCCATTTCTTCTGTGTTTTCCATTTTATTGGAGTACAGGTTCTCAAAGTAGGTATTAATGATCCTCTGGATTTCTATTGAATCTATTGTGACTTTGCCTTTTTCATCCTGATTGCATGGATCGGAGCCTTTTCTTTCCTTTTTTTGATAAGATAGCTAAGGGTTTGTCAAATTTATTTATTCTTTCAAAAAACCAACTCTTTGTTTCATTTATTTTTTGTATCGTTTTCTTAGTTTCTATTGCATTGATTTCTGCTCGAATCTTTATAATTTCCTCTCTTGTTCAAGGAAACAGAAATAATATTCAAAATGGAAGGGAAGACTGGGGATTTAGCTCAGTGGTTCTGCTGCCTGCCTCACAAGCACAAGGTCCTGAAAAAGAAAATGCAAGGGAGACTGGAAGGAGCTTGCCTCTAGTGGAGAAGCTCAGCAATTTCCATGGTTAACCTGCTTTTGTTAGCCAGCAAGAATCACTGGGAGGAGGGAATCTTGAGTCATTTGTGGAACAGTAGTGGTTTAAAAAATATTTTGAAAAATAGGGAACAGATTAAACTTTTACAAAGAGAATGTATGAAAGGGAACAGGTTCTTCCCTATTCCCAAGTTAATAAGGAACTAGCATTCTGTCCTCAGTAGATATTGTCCTGCCAGGGGAGCACTGTAATTATGAGCATTCCCACACACAGCCAGAAAGCTACAACTTTTCAAAGATACACAACTTTCTGTATGTTTTTCTGATTCCCAAAGCTGGTCACATTGGCCTGAGGACTGTGGGGCCTAGTCACACAATCTGGCCCCCAGTAATTTCTCACAGAATCTGGTCCCCAACAGTTTAACTTAGGGTTACATATTTTGAAAAATGAGAATTGTAGTACACATTATGAATCAGTGAGATTTTACTATTGCTGTGAAAGCCAGGAGGGTAGGGGAATGTTTGACAAGGAGGTCAGGAATTAATGACAGCAAAGCTGGTTGAATATGCAATAAAGTGAAAAGATTGGGAAGGAGAAGAGGAGTGGGAAACTTGCTCAAGAGAAAGGTCTAGAGTACCATGAAGAGTACAGAACCAGAGACAGAGGGACCTGCAGTTTGAGCATTGACTGAAAAAACAAGAATCAGAGACCTGTCGGATTTACTTCTGATCATAGATTAATAAGCATGTAGCAGGGTAATAGGTATTTATTTTGTCCTGCAAATTTTGGCAGGTAGGTATCAGCTAGTGATTGAAATCCTAAATTTAGATTTGCTCAACTATAACCCAATTATAAACAATTTTTACTTAATTGTATATTGATCTACAGTAGTCTTTCTTTTTATGATGTTAAATATGATAACTAGTCTAAAATCGTCATTTAGTATGGTGATATGTCAATTTGGTTTTACCTCCTGTCTTAATTACACTTCTTGCTGCCTTTGCTTTCTTAAAGAATTAGCTGAATAATGCAAGCTCAAATATTTGGTTGGTTTATTATATTTTATACAACCAAATATTTTTGTTTATTATTTATTCTTTCTGCTTTTGTATCATATTTTTGGTGGCTGAATATGAAAGTTTATATCAGCAAATCATAACAGGAATACACTCTATGTATCTAGTCCTAATTATCACTTCTGATTTTGGAGACAGAAAGTGTATGATATATTAGAAATTCTTTGCCTTTGGTATCAGTACCTTTGGTATTATAACCAGAAGGCAAATGGGTTATATTTGTGATCAAGATGAAGAGGGAATATCGAATAGAGCCTAGACTTATGGGAGATGTCAACTCATACTTGAAAACCTTCTTCTCGTGTGTGATGACTTTCATGATAAGGAAGCAGCCCAGCACCTTTCATAGTAGGCTTATTTCTGATTTCTTTTGTCTTGAACAGAAAGGATTCCCTATTCTCTTGACTTTAATAGCTCAACATCTCCTCAGAGTCATTGGGCTAAGGCCGGAGTTAAGACCTTGGCTCAAATATGGCTGCTCCAAATGCTGCTTAGTTTATTTATTACTAATGATACAATTCTGTGGTTTTCAGGGAAGAAAAGGAGAAGAAAATCTGGCACATAGCCCCTAACTGCCACCTGTGGTTGTAGAAATAATTCTTGAAAGCCAGCAGTAAAGCAAAACATTAAGAACAATTCTGGAATTCCTCTGTGATGCTTAAACTCCTCCTATACCACCATCTGCTCATTAGGAGCACATTCTTGTTTGATTTTTGTCTGCTCCTGATAGTTGGACTGCAACACCTAAATATCCAGACTGGGATCAGGAATTTCAATTAATAATTTTTGATTTCAGCATCATTTTGCTTTCTTGAGCAAGAAACTTGACTTTCATAAACATTGGACACAGGCAAATAACCCAGAAATATATAGAAGAAAAAATGATTCATTGTAAAAAAAAGTAATTTTATATGACTATTAACAACATGTATGTAAAACTTTAATAAGCATCTTAAAGTACCTTTTTTAAAAATCTCATTTAATTAGTATTGTTTGTGAAGATGAAAGCAATTAGGAATTTTATTAAAGATTTATGGAAGACTTTGAAAAATAATAAAAGTGATGTGAAGGAGTTGACTTTTGCTCTCTTTTTTTCTATTTCAGGGATTGAACATTATATTTCATGTAGCCTTGGCTCTCCTAAAGGTAAGTAAGTCTGGTTTTATTTTAAATTGTTAAACTACCTTACCTCTTTGCTTTCAGAACTGAAATAATTCAACATACATAGCTTTTGTCTTATCCTAGGTCCTTGCATATAGAAAAGGTCATTTTTCTGAGAAACTCTGGTCTTCTCTCTCCCTCCTATCCTTTTTTATTGTATTTATTTGGAATTTGGCTTTTTATAACCTATTTAATCTTGATACCATAGCATTTGTACCAGCAACATAGCTTTCATTCATATGAGTTGGATAAGAGAAAAAGTTAAAACCTATTTTCTGTCAAAATGAAGCCGCTTTTTTTTTTTCTTAAAATACGTCTTACCATAATAACATCCCTGGAGGCACCTAAACATATAATTGAATTATTAAAAAGCTTCTATAATACACTGACTAAAAAAGAAACTGCTACATTTCAATTTGCAGTTCTTTTTCTGATAGCTGGAAATTTATAAGATACTTTAGAATTTAATTATAATTACCTTGTGGGATTTTATACCAACATATCACTATAGTTTTAACAGTGTGGGAACAGCAAGGCATTTGCTATAGAGTTGCTAAAAATAACCCAATCAAAGAAGACACTGTGTTACTAAAAGTGATAATTACCTGGTTTATAAAAAGACACAGGCTTACCCTTTCCCGGTATAATGTAATGGTTAAAATCTCGGACACTGGACTCAGACAGATTTGATTTTAATTTTTATTAGGGTATTATTAATGAATACTGGTTGTACAGATTAACTGGTTTCTCTGTGATGCTTCTGTATATGCAGGTATCATGTTTTGGTCATGCCCACGCTCCCTTCTGCCCTCTTTCACCGTCCCTTCACTTTCCCCGCTCCTGGATCATTTTCTTCCCTACGTATTCCTCTTATCCTTTCAAGTCTTCTTTGTATACGTGTGTGCTTCAGTTCCCAGATGCAAGAGACAATATGTGGCACTTACATCATGTCTGACTTATTTCTCTTAACATGATAATTGCTAAGTTCATCAGTTTTTCTGCATAATGATATAATTTCATTTTTCTTTATGGCTGAATAATACTCCACTGTATTATTGTAAAGAATATGTTCTTCATCATCTGTTGATGGGAACATGTTTGATTCCATATATTGGCTGTTGTGAATAGTGCTACAGTAAACTGTGGACATACAGATATCTTTTCTGTCTGCTTACTTCATTTCCTTTGTTTAAATACCCAGGAATGTAAGTGGATCATACGGTAGTTCTTTTTTTAGTTTTCTGAGGAAGCTCCATACTGTTTTCGTTAGTAGCTATATTAAGTTACATTCCCACCAACAGTCTATCAGGATTATTTTTCTCCACATCGTCAACCAGAACATTTTTTTTTCAAATAATAGCCATTCTGACAGGGATGAGATGGAATCTCAATGTAGTTTTTTGTTGTTGTTGTTGTTTGTGGGGTTTTTTTGTTTGTTTTTTGTTTTGGGTTTTTTTTTCGGTACTGGGGATCAAATTCAGGACCTTGCACTTGCGAGGCAGGTGGCAGAACCACTGAGCTAAATCCCCGGCCCTCAGGTAGTTTTTATTTCATTTTGCCAGATAGCTGAAGATACTGAACATTTTTTTCATATATTTATTGGTCATTTATACTTCTTTGGAAGTGTCAGTTTAGATCATTTGCCCGATGTTAAGTTTTTTAAGTTCTTTATATAATCTAGATATTAATCCTCTCAGGTGAATAGCTAGCAAAGTTTTTTTCTACTCTGTAGGCTGTCTCTTCACTCTGCTTATTGTTTTCTTTGCTGTGCAAAAGCTTTTTAATTTGATATAATTCTGTTCTTCGATTTTTGCTTTATTTCCTGGGTTATTGGAATCCTATTCACGAAATTGTTGCCTATACCAGTATCTTGAAGAATTTCCCCTACATTTTCTTCTAATAATTTCAGTTTTGTGTCTAATTTTTAAGTTGATTTTTATACAAAGAAGATATTTGGTTCTAATTTAAGCCCTACTATGTGACTCTGGGAAAATTAGCCTAAGTGCTGGAGTTTTGAAATAATAGTAAAAAATTAATATACAGGGCCAGAGATTTAGCTCAGTGGTTCCAGTGCCTCATTCACAAGTACAAGGACCCAAGTTCAATTCCTGGTACCAAAAAAAAAAAAAAAGGCATTGTTATAATTAAAGTTATGCATAAAATTTCTTAATATGGCATTTAGAGCCATTTTACTGTCCAATAAATGTTAGCTATCACTATTTTGATTACTCATGTCTTTCACAAGTCACCTCAGAATGTGTTTTCAGGTTCCCCTTCATTGTGCCCAGTCTCTCAGTTGTCCTGGAAGGGCCTCTTGATATCAGCAGAGAACCTTGATAATCAACATACCTTGTCTCTCAACAAAGGCATAAAATACTCTGAAACTCAAGAAGCAAATAACTGTTCCTTGTCACTGTTAAACATTTGCTTTTTGTGAAGTTAATAAAATGCACTTGATTTAGTAAATCACTTTGTGATTAAATATGAATAATTCATGTTCCACAGTCATTATAGAAGTCAGAAAAACATTTAAGATGTTTTAATAAAATTTATCTTTTCATGAAATCATGTATCCTGACCTTAATTTTTTTCTTGTCATTAAAACTAAGAGCAAAAACTAGCCAGGTACAGTGCCATACGGTTATATTCCCAGCTACTTCTAGAGAGTGAGGCTGGATGATTCAAAGTTCCAAGACCAGCCTTGAACAACTTAGGCCCTGTCTCAAGGAAGAGCAAAAAGGCTGGGATGTAGCTGAGTGATAAAGTGCTTCTGGGTTTAATCTCCAGTACTGCAAAAACTACAAAAAACAAACAAAAACAAAACAAAACAAATGTGTTTAAACATGCCCTTTTTTTTTTTGTCACATGCATGTGTTATTCTTTTTTTTTGCTTTTTCTTGTTGTTGTTTTTTTGAGACAGGGTCTCACTATGTAGTTGAGACTGAACTGGAACTCACTATGTAGCCGAGGCTGGTCTTGAACTCACAGCGATCTCCCTGCCTCAGCCTCCTGAGTGCTGGTATTACAGGTTTGCGCCACCACGCCTGGCCTTATGTTTTATTCTTTGAAGAGCAGTTCTGAAACATCACATTAAGGCCGAAAAAATGTTTGAGGTAAACAGTTTCATGGGGATGAGTTATAACACATGTAGTGCTTATTCATTCTAAGGAATCCTGATCTTGGAGCTTAAGATGTAGCAGCTGGCAGTAGCGCCCATGTTTCTCAGAGCTGGTCGTTATGTTTCTCCTCTTTGCATAGACTTCTCATTAGCTGCCTTCTGCTTCTGTTGCATGATCTCAGAGTCCCTCTGCTTTCTTTGAGAAGTAGTCAAGCTATCCTCTCTTCTGTTTCCCTTGCTAATTTCTTGGGTTTTCTTCATATTTTTTGTCGGGCAAGCTCTCTTTGATTGCCATGGGCCATGCTGACCACTGGCGGAGCCTAGAGAGCGACAGCCTCCTGTGCTGGTATTACAGGTTTGCGCCACCACGCCTGGCCTTATGTTTTATTCTTTGAAGAGCAGTTCTGAAACATCACATTAAGGCCGAAAAAATGTTTGAGGTAAACAGTTTCATGGGGATGAGTTATAACACATGTAGTGCTTATTCATTCTAAGGAATCCTGATCTTGGAGCTTAAGATGTAGCAGCTGGCAGTAGCGCCCATGTTTCTCAGAGCTGGTCGTTATGTTTCTCCTCTTTGCATAGACTTCTCATTAGCTGCCTTCTGCTTCTGTTGCATGATCTCAGAGTCCCTCTGCTTTCTTTGAGAAGTAGTCAAGCTATCCTCTCTTCTGTTTCCCTTGCTAATTTCTTGGGTTTTCTTCATATTTTTTGTCGGGCAAGCTCTCTTTGATTGCCATGGGCCATGCTGACCACTGGCGGAGCCTAGAGAGCGACTCAGACAAGTAATAGCCCGTTTGGGCCCTTGGCGGGGCGATGCCTCCTAAACATGCCCTTTTAATTGGGCTAAGATTTTTAGAATGTCTAAGCAGTGAATGCATTATGTAACTCAGATTACAGAAATACTAAGTTACAACTAAGTATAAGAAAATCCAAAAAAGGGCCAGGGATTTAGCTCAGTGGCTCGGTGGCCTGCCTTCAAGCACAAGGACCCAAGTTCAATCCCCGGTACCCCCCCCAAATCCAAAAAGTTCTGATATTTTTCTTATTTCTAATTTTCTTTTAAACTCTCACATATTGCATCTATCCCAAAAAGCCTTTCTTCATGTTTTGGGTAATCTATATACTGGTGAAAATGTTGGTTAATGTCTTCTTGACTGGAATGTTGATTTCTTTTGGGCCATGCTAACCCACAGATGGCCTGGACAGAGGACATTCTTTGGCCTCTGGGCAGAAAGTCTGTTTATGTCTTCTTTAACAATATATCCACAGTCTTCAAACATTATCTTGGAGACTTTGACTAGTTAGAGAAGGTAGATGAGCAGCTTTCTTACCACTAGTGGCCTATATTTGTATACATACCTTGTGTGTATCCTGAAATTTCATGCACAGCTAAACTGAAGTTTTTATTCAATGATAAAAAACAAAATAACACCCAAACAAAAATAACAGTGACTAACAGTTTCTAATTAGTGTGTCAGATAAAATAATGCATATTTGTTTATATATATATATATATATATATATATATACATACACACACACACACACACACACATATGTATATTTAAAAAAAACCTTTGGGCACGCTTAAAGTACTTCTGAACCTAGCCTAAATAATTTTTAGTAGAGCTGTGGAGAAAATTTTGTTTGTTTGTTTGTTTTGGGTTTTTTATATTGTTTCGTTTTTTGAGACAGGGTCTTGCTGTGTAGTTCAGGTTGGCCTTGAACTCACAGCCTCCAGAGTGCTGGGATTACAGGTGTGCAGCACTATGCCTGGAAAGTTGCAGAGAGACTTTAGATTTCTCTGAATTAGAAGTATTTCTTGTGATAAGGGGAACTAACCTTTCTTGACTGTTTACTCTGG